ATATATATATATATATATATATCGTTATATATATTGATGTATATATATATGTATATATATATATATACATGTAGAACTGGTGCAGTGAGCTCTGCACACCTGAAATATGAGTTTTTATTTTATTTTTTTAACCATTCTTTTTAATAAATAGGCCTAATTTCCATTAAGCTGAGTGTGCACAGGTAATGTACTCTTTTCAATCATGGTATTTAAGTTTGGGCTTTGGCTGGGCCTCTGAGATATTTACAATTGTCCCTTATAGTCACTCTTGTGTTTTTGAGTCATTGTCATTTTGGAAGTTAACCTTTGAACCCAGTCCGAGGACCAGAGCTCTGTGGAACAGTTTTTTTGTTGTTGTTTTTTTGTGATTATATGAAGATTATGTTGGGAAGATGATGAACACTGCCTGGTTTTCTCCAGTCAAAACCGTTAGAAGTGAAGGCAAACTGTTTGATCTTGACTCCACCAGGCCAGTGGACCTTGTTCCTCACAGTTTGAAATGTTACAGATATTGCCCTTCTGGAAGTTGGTACCCTCTTCATGTAGGATCTCTGAAGCCCAGTTAGAGTAACCAGGTTCTTCTCCTTTGATTGTTCAGTTTGGCAGGACAACTGTGCTCTGGGGAATTTTCAACGCAGCAGAAGTGTTTTGTAATTTTCCTCAGAACTGTCCCTTGCAACAACTGTATGTAGATTACAACAAAGTCCATGCTCAATGTCCATGCATGTAGATTATTGAAAGGAAACAATAATTTAAACAACTGTATCATCAGGCTGCAACATAAAACAAAAAATACAATGCTGCAGCAATGAAATATTCTGACAGATAAATTAAAAAAGTTAACTGAAGAAAGGTTTTTGTTGCTTTCTTTCACAGGTGGTTTTGCTTTAGCTGGGTTGAGTTTAGACCCTGACCGGCCCTCCCTAAGGGTCCTGCTCTCTGACACAGCTAGCCTGGAATGCTGCTACGAAGGTGGACCTCAGAATTTCACCTGGGTCAAACTGAATTCCACATTTTCATCTCCTCAGCATGTGACCATATCGGAACCACACCATGTGGTGAAATATATTGATACTGGTAGTAAACACTGTTGCACTCTGACCTTCAAGGAAGTCCATCTGAATGACACTGGGCTGTACCAGTGTTTGCTGAAACCCAGTGCTGTCTTCACACACGGCACCTACCTGCAGGTTTACAGTGAGTATGTGTGGAGTGGGGGTGGAAGGGTGGGGTAGTGCAAGCTGATCAGGAATGCCAGTTTGCATGAGTGTGTATGGAGTCAAGCAAGCTCCAAGCGCTGCTTACACCTCATAAGCCATAAATCCTGTTAACCTTAGTCTATCCAAGAGTTGCGTGAGTGGCAGCAAATGTGCATTTTGCAGAACAGCTAATCTTTAAATGATTAGACTACAGTATTCTTGTTACACACTGTTCCTCACCTGTTTACTTAAAATAACACCAAGACCAGTTGAAATTGTATTCGGGTTATTGTATGAAAATATTATATGCTGCATAGTTTACTAAATCACGTTACTTTGACCAAACAATGGTACTGATTGTACATCAGTGAGTTCTTTATTCTGAGTGGAACAGTTACATAAAGTCTTGCACTAAATCTATTTGGAAGTCTCGCTTGAACTTCTCTTTAAAGTGCCAACAAACGAGAATATTTAAAAGTCACACGTGCCCTATTTTTTTATTTTATTTGTTTTGTTCTTTTTTGTAATTGCCGAACACTGTTTTTGTGACCAGAAATCATGGAGAAGATGGTAAACCTCAGCGAGAGTACCAAAAACACAATCCTGACAGTTGAAGGAATCCTTCTGCTACTGTGTGTGATAGTACCTTCTGCTGCTCTTCTGTTCAAGGTCAGAATGTTTCTACACCATGTCAAATCTCTGACTTATAAGGCCCACTTGAAAGAAAACATTTCTAAATGTTGCCTTATCATTATTGCTAACATACCAGAAATTATTGCAATTTGTGAGACAGTCCTTAAAGTCTTCCTACTTCAGTCATCCCAATAATTATTTAAACTCTTTCCCCTTAGTGAGATGGTAGCAACCGTTCACAAGTTTTGTTTTGTCCCTCGCAGTCTCAGGGCCTAAAAGAGCTAGAGATGAAGAAAATGAAGACCGAGGAGGAGAACATATATCAGGTGAACATTTACAAATCACACTCTTTTGTTTCAAGTCATGGCATCAACAATAAATGAAATACTGAGAGCAGAAACAAAGATCTGAGATCCATCTAGAAGTTTCGAACGTATGCTGCATGGATGAATTATTCTGTTCGCTTAATTTTCTTCCTCGTCTCTTACATCAGGGCCTAAATCTGGATGACTGTTGTACAACGTATGATCAGATTGAGCGCTCCCAGGGTCTGGGTCAGTACCAGGATGTGGTCAGTGGTATGGAAGAAAGGGAAGAAATTCAGCTGGAGAAGCCATGAAGAAAAGGAAAGAGATAAAGAAGAAAAAAAAAGAAGCAATGAGCTGAATCTTTTTAAAGATAAAGTGTGTGGAATTAAGATTATTGTGACCCACTGCAATTTTTTGTTGAAAGTTTTGTTCATAGCATACATACACAATTGTAGTATCTAATATTCATAATGCTTAACCACATTTAAGATTAAGAGCAGATGAAAAAAAACTCCAGAAATGTTGCAAGAATTTAAAAACTGCCATCCAAGTTTGGTACTTTCAGCCTTTTCATTGATTTTGTGTGTGTGTGTGTGCACGTGTTTACATTATGTTATTTTACATGTGTGTGTGTACATATTTTCTTGAGCAATAAATGTTGACATTTTCAAATATATTGTCTAAAAACACTGGCTAAGAGCTTAGATGACGAGATGACAGCATCTTCTAAGAGAGATTTGTGTATCTGAGATTAATTGTCTCATCTGTTTTAATGTTCATTTAAACATTAAGCTTTTTTTTGGCTTTTACTGTAATTTTTACACGTTTTGAATAAATATAAGCAAATAAAATGTAGGCTGTCTGTCCACAGCTCTTTAACTTGCAGCACAGTGAATGAGATGAGAGAGTGAGGATTGTTTGTTTCCTGTGAGCGTCGCGATTGGCTACTGGACCGAGAGGCGGATATTCATTGGCTAATAACTTTGATATGGGCGGGGTCTCACTACTGTCAGGTAGGTATGTAGGAAAGTCAGGCGGTGCGTAAAGAGTGGGCGAATATGGCGTCAAGCAAGAAGGGTGGAGGCAGCAGCAAATTGGAGAGAGGTGTGAATGGAAAACGCTCATCTAAATTGAAAGAGGGTCCTGTTGGTGAGTTTTTCTGTTCGGTGTTGACATAGCTCCCTCGCGCTTGTCCCATTTAAAAACTGCATCATGCAGACGTCGTTACCTCCTTCTGCTAGCTTGTTACAAGCTTGTGTTAGCAGCTTGGTTAGCTCATACCACGGCTGGTTTTATAGCGGCTGTTTTAGGTGTAGTCGTTATTATATCACATGAAACATATTGTTTTAGCATAATATTTGTGTAAGCTATGAAAAAAAAAAATGTTGGTAGAAAAAAAACCTCCCAGGCTACGTCTCTAACCCCCGGCATCCAGCTGAGATCATAATAGCTAAGAACTTGAACTAGTGTCGTCATAAGTGCCGCGCATGTACTTTTTACAAACATTTTCACGTCTTCTGCCTCTAGTCTCAACCGCTGACCTTGACAGCACCCACCTGACCAGGTACTACAGCCATAACTAAAGAGGAGAGGGAAATAGATAGATGTGATTAAGCAACGAGTGTGAGATGTGATCAGGGTTTCCCATACTGTCTGTGCGTAAATATTTTTAAACATATGTGGTGACGTCACAGGAGACAGAGTGACAAATGACCAACCTCTGGTGGCAAGCTGCCAGCAGGCACTGGATCTTCTGTAAGAAAAATTGGTCATTTGTCCCAACTCTTACATTAACATCTAACAAGGTTGAGTCGGGTCCTCTGGACGGATTCTTCTGTGTTGAAAAATACTTCTTCAGTCTGAAGAGCTGCGACAAACGGTTTGAAAAATAGCACATCCTCATAGTGGATCAACCAGTTTGCTGGTGACAGCCAAAACTAGTTGTTCACATGCAAACGGAGGACCTAACAATAGATTGTTAGTACCCAGATGGCCACTTTCTATTCACTGAGTGATACTAGCAATAACGGCATTGTAAGAGGGGGACAGTTGAGCACAGAGGCATCCACCCCTGTTTAACGATGGACAGTTCTCTCACAAAGATAGATTCCTTTACCCCTCCCTCAAACCAGCATTCCTCTGCATCAAGGATGTGCACATCTTCATACCTGAACGAGTGACTGCTGGCCTGGAGCAGAGTCCTGGCCTGATGATGTTGCTGTTCGGTGCTAAGCCATCCTTTTGACCAGTGGCTGCTTTGTTTCCCGATATATAACTGATCACAGACCCTCCTGACACTGAACAGCATACACACTCTGTTTGTGTTGGGGGGGTTGCCATAATGTATTTTGGGGTTTGAAAGCCACTGGGACATCATGTTCATTAGAAAATAAACATCTCAGTTTCACTGAAACTCCTCCAACATCTGGAATGACCACTGATCTGGGTTCCTCCTTTTCACCTGATGGTTGGCTGGAGTCCTGTTTTGAGTTTCTTCTCTACTTTCAGGAAATCCCAGTTAGGACATCCACATTGCTCCAGGACCTGTCATGTGTGAGATTTCTCATTCTCCCTGGCTCCTATGTTGGTGGGGACGCTGTCCACTCTGTTGTACAGAGTCCTGATGACTCCTATCAAACCGAACGTACTGGTTTGTGAGGGTGGGTTTGCGTTTGAGAAGATGCTTCTTATAAGACTGGTCTTATGGATAGTGGTTGAAGTCTTATGGATAAATGATGAAATGTTTCAACAAAGAAGTATCTGTCCAGAGGACCTGACTCAACCTTGTTAGATTTATCTCCCTGGATTATTGAGCAGCATCAGGACACTTGCATTAACATGTTTGGCTAAAAAAATATCTAACCACGTCTAAGACATCACGGTTTAAAATAAAAACTCAAATCTTCTTTCTGCTCATTTGTCTTTCTATGCTCTGATGAAATGTTTTAACTACTTTGTTACTATTGTGCTTTTGAAGTTTTGGGATAATAAGATGAGATAATTTTTTGACATAATCTTTCATGTTATGCAACACATACTTTTTAACTTATCTGATTATCAGAGCTAGTTTTTTTTTTTTTTTTTTGCGTCAATGCATTAAAGCACTGAACTGAGAGACCTTACTTTCTTGTGGGGGTGGGGGGTGTGCAGGCTCATTGTTACTGGTTTCCTGTTGTTGCATTTTACCTTGTGAATGTGAGTGAAGCTCCTCTGTCTAAGACACTGCAGAGACATCCATGAATGTAAAAAGTAGTTTATTTCTTTGTTTTTCCTCATACAAAAAGCTCTTTGTGCCATCATGTTAAAGTTTTACTTTAAGGCTGAAGGGATCAAATATGGTCTAAAGTCTAAGCACTTGAGAATAAAATAATACTTGTATAGTGTATAATGTGTGTTAGTGTTGGATTTATAAGCTATGTACAAATAGCATCTACTGCACAGTATTTACCAGAACTTTGTCATAGAGCATTTAAAAATCAGAAGGAATTAGGAAAGTTTCTGGTGTAGGTATCGGACCTTGTCTGAGACATTTGTTTTAGGCAAAAACAAATATCTAATTGATGAGATCATTGAAAGAATTTCATTTCACAACATGCACATTACAGGAAAAATAGGTGCTGAATAAAATGGAGCTATCATTTTTGTTATAGCAATGTTTTTAATTTTTTTAATTTAATTTTATTATTATTTTTTTGTATTTGGCATTTTTGTGAAGTAAAATTATGGTAAATAGGCTGTACTTGTATAGCACCTTTCTACCAGATACTCAAAGCACTTTACAATACAATCTGTGCCTCATTTACCCATTCATACAGCACTATATTAGATCTCTACAAAGCTAATTGAACAAATCATTCTAAAGAGACTAATCAGTGCTTTATCACATTCATACATCGATGGGACACACATCGGAGGCAATGAGGAGTTCAGTGTCTTGCCCAGGGACACTTCAGCATGTGACTGCTGGTGGATTTGAACCCCCAGCTCTTGCATTAGAGGACGACTGCTCTAACCACTCAGCCACAGCCGCTCATTCATCATAAAGGGGATGAATTGTGAAACAATATTCTTTTGGGACAATTGTAATAGTGGGAACAACAGATTTTTCATTGATGACATAATGTTGTTTGTGTACCTCCTTGTCTGTGGATGAAAAGTTCTTCATTTCTTCATGGAGTGATAGGACGGTCATCTGTTTTATCAGCCAACAGAAGTCAACTCAGTTTGTTTTTTCCAAGAAAAAAGATCTTCTAATGGTACTTTCACCAACTGTTTTTGTAAAGATTCACGTGCTGAGCATGCACTGTGTGTGTCAGTATTTCTCAAGAGTTGAAACTTGCTGCTAAAATTGGGGCGGGGGTGTTTGGTCAAAGGCTAGTAATATAATCTTCAAAACTGAACGTCTGAGAGAGGCTCCACCAAAACAACACAGACAATATCATCTATTACAAAGATGGATGGATGTAAGTAGTTACTCAAAAATATGACAAATGCTAATGAAGAAATTATTAATTATGTTTTGATAATGAAGCAGTATTTCATCGAAATTTTCATGGTATTTATTTAAATTCTTTTTGTTTGTTTTTGTTGTTGCCTAGGCCTGTCACAATAAACAATAAATCAATCGCATGATAAATTAAAATTATCTACCTCATTTTAATTTATTGGCTTTATCGTTTCTTCGTGTCTCTCTCTTTCTACTGAAGACACAGGATGACAAAAGCTCAACTCTGGTGCTCTTCACTGACCCTTTTCTTTCTCTTTAAAATCTCTTTTAACCGTCCAAAATCGTGTTTTTGGATCGTTAAAAGCAGCTAAGCTGAGAAGCTAAGCTACGAGCTAAGCTAACAGGCCGACCTCAAGGCGGGGGGGGACCTCCGTCTTATCGAAGCTCCAAAATTCACGTTGAAACTCGTGCCTTTGTGTAAAAAGTTGTTTTTCCTCTACAAAAAGAAGCTGGGAACTTGTTTACTGATTTTTTAAAATATTTTTATTAAAAGCTTTGCGTGAAAAATGCTATGCTAAAGAGCTCAAACCACACTGAGCGTCCGCCATTTTGAGAACCGGAGACAGCCCACGTCACATCAATGGGCCTCCCTCCCATTTTTCTTAAGATATGCTGCTCGCTCCCTCACTATCCATCCTTCAGTTCAGTCTTACACTACCATCCGGTGGTCAAAAAAGGTACTACATGCAAAACAAATTAAGTATTTCTTCTAAAATGTGACAATAAATACTAATTATTGTCAAATTTCAAACAATATTATCGTTTATCGCAATAATTTCAAAGACAATTAATGGCCCAGCAAAATTTGTTATCATGACAGGCTTAAATGTTGCTGTTTATTATTTTTAGTTTTTGACATTTGGCCAGAGAGACTAAAAACTTAAAAAGCATGATTTGTGCTATAGTACCAATATTACGGTAATCACGTTTGTGTAAAGAAACACCAAATGGATTGATTTCATTGGTGTGTTTGCTTAAGACTGACCTTTAAAAAAATACAATAGATTTTTTTTTTAAACGTTAACATTTAAAATTTTATCTTTTGGTGGCTGTATCTTTGACAGTGCTGGCTGGTTTTTGCCATATGAGTCAAAGGTTGCAAGCTGAATAGCCAATAGGAGAAAGTGGTTGGGGTTGTTTCTACTCTGTTTTTAAATAAGGCATGGGAGGGACTAACAGATTAGTAGAGAAGGATATCACATTGCTTTCAAGTAGATTTGGTTTTGACAAGCTTACATAGAGGAGACTAAAAGCTGAAAAGGCAGTGTGATAAAGAAGCAACAGGCAACAAAAATAAACAACTTTCTTTTCACTTTAATTTCCTTTTTCTCCACGCTTTCATCGCACTCATGGAAGAGGGGAAACTGACATGGACAGAACATTGAACTCGGATGCCGGTAAAAAATATATCTTTAATTTTTTTTTTTTTTATCCTTTTAGCTGTTCAGTTTGTGTTCATTCAAACCCATTAACTGTACTCTGTCAGCTACAGTTAGTTGTGTGCCAACAATCAATTCACACTGTCCTTTATCCCCAGAGGAGTCATTATCTGTAATGTTGCTGTTGAACATGACTTATTAATGTCCGCTCTCATGCAGTTTTAATGTGGAGAGACCAGCTACAACCTAATAGTTTCAGCACTGGGTTTACAGGAGACACTTGGGTTAGTAAAACATAGAAGGGCAATGTTAAAACCTGTTGTTCAGTTAGATGGAGATGAACATTTGCTTATGAGGCTATGGTGATGAGGTCAGAAGGTGAGTACTGGTAAATGTTTTTCTTCATTGTAGCTAAAGAGTAATGACTTGAGTGCAATGCACCTTATTTTGTTTTGAAGCATTAATTTTAAGTCTAAAAGTGTAAAGACTGTATTCAGCTATGGTACGTTTTGAAGTTTTCCTATTCCTTCAAAACGAGGTGATACTGGTTCACTTAACTGTGCTCATTTGCATAATATTTGCATGTGATGTGCTCACTGGAGTTCAGACGTGGGTGTAATACCTGCCAACTTCATTGTTATTAAGCAAGTTTCTGAGCTGCTTATGCTAATCTGAGTTTGAAAAGTTCATCCCCAGCTTACAATGTCAGCATCAGACCTCACTCAGATCAGAGATGTGCACCCCTGCTTTAATTAAACTTTGTAATTTATATTTTGGCTCTGTGCCCAAACTTGTTTCATTTCAACAGTGCATCATTTGGGTGACTCATTGACTGGACCAGTCACTGTGTCCACAAAAGCAGCACTGCTGAGAAAATGCTGGTGTTTTACTGGGTTTGCTGATGTGTTGTGTGTTTATAAAGCTTTGCCCGTTGTCAGAGTTTGAACATTAATATCTACACATAATCTTCTGGCTGTTATCCTGAAGGCAAACAGAAGTCCTAGAATCATGCATGCTTATTGTTTTAAGTGATATAGGATTTTGTCATTTACCTTGTGATAAACTTATATGACATGTTTGCATAATGAGTAGATAGCAGCCTGAATGTAGTTCATTCAAGTTGTGTCATTGCTATCTTTCGAACTATGTAAAAAGGTTTTGTCACTTTATTTCCATATTGCAAAGTCCACTTGTTTCTTAAATACAGACACATTGTGTAGGATAACTTTATTTGCTGCCATTTACAATCAGATGAATTCAAAATGTCTGGACAAAACTATTGAAGATTACTTCCTATGGGGTAAGGATGCTATAAAAACAGGTGAAAAGGTGTACAATAGTTGTGCATAGCTAGAAATGTGTAAATTCTTGAATAAGTCAAATCATTTACAAACTTGTGTACATACAAGTACTACAACTAAGAACAGAGTTTACAAAGTTACAGCATCCAGGATTTATATAAACAATTCTCAAGTTTGCATTTGTGTGTTGTTGTTTTTTTTTAAATACAAATTAAAAACCGTGTACATCACAGGATTACAGACTTTTATAAATAGAGCAACGCATTTGTGGATCCCACTACTAGTTTTACATGTATTCTCTTGACATAATGTTGCCAATTGTCACAATGTAAATATTACATTTTATTCAGGTATAGTACTCTGAGTTGTTTAACATTAGCTGAATTTGTTCCTTTTTGTTTCTGTCCTCTTGGAGCTACAGTATATGGCGTTTTTAATGGCATCCTTACTCTGTAACTTTCAATGACGAACATCAAAGAATGAATAAAAAAATATTTTATTTCCCATTAGTTTCATTAGTTTGATGGGTTTGTTTAGTTTTAATAAGTGGAATAGCCAACTAAAAAAATCCTCAGTTCATTCAAGCTTTATTTATACAAATAAATCACATTTAGCCTCAAGGACTAATGTACAGGTGAGACCTGTTCAATACAGAGTTTCTTGTAAAATCATGAGACGTTAAATCAGAATATTTTCTTTATTGTAAATAGATGCGAAGATATTATCTAGACTGATCTAATGTACGCCTGATAATTTAGTTCTCTGTTCTTTTTCATGGACTCACTGTGGATTTAAATTTCCAGTGAATAAATCCTTGAAAGGAAAAAAAACAAACAAACAAAAAAAAAAAACATGATGCATCTTTTTATCTTTGTCCTGAACCAGGTTCTGTATTCTTGACTCCTGCAGAGGTCTCCCATGGGTCTGTTTTTGTGGAGAATCTAGTCCACTTACAGAACCATATTCATTAAACTGAGATCTAGAGAGAAATATTTTTCTCATTTGCACTACAGATCAAATCTTTGATCTAGTTGGTACTTTATAAACTTGAATTATGTAATTAAATTAAATGATTGGCATGGTATGATAATTTCATTCAACTTTACGTACAAACCGGATTCCAAAAAAGTTGGGACACTAAACAAATTGTGAATAAAAACCGAATGCAATGATGTGGAGGTGCCAACATCTAATATTTTATTCAGAATAGAACACAAATCACAGATCAAAAGTTTAAACTGAGAGAATGTGAAATTTTAAGGGAAAAATCTGTTGTTTCCAAATTTCATGGCATCAACAAATCCCAAAAAAGTTGGGACAAGTCCATTTTTACCACTGTGTGGCATCCCCCCTTCTTCTTACAACACTCAGACGTCTGGGGACAGAGGAGACCAGTTTCTCAAATTTAGAAATAGGAATGCTCTCCCATTCATGTCTAATACAGGCCTCTAACTGTTCAATCGTCTTGGGCCTTCTTTGTCGCACCTTCCTCTTTATGATGCGCCAAATGTTCTCTATAGGTGAAAGATCTGGACTGCAGGCTGGACATTTCAGTACCCAGATCCTTCTCTGATATAAGAATGATTATTTTGATGATTTTATGTCAATTTATACTTATTTTATACTCATTTTATATGCAGCTTATCTGTGCAAACCAGGCCTTGTGCTGTAGGAGGTGATGTGCTTCATAGGAATGTAACGATGAGCCTCCGGGAGGTTCTTACTGAAAGACTTGGCCCGTCTGGCGGTTACGACGACCCGGAGTTTTCTGTAAACATGTCTTTCTGGCTGTACAGCTGCACAGCTGCAGAAAGAAAAGCTTTGCAGAGAGTGGTGAAGGCTGCACAGAAATCTGTTGGAATCAGTCTCCCCACCATCACAGACATCTACACCTCTAGATGCAGGAAGAGGGCCACCTGCATCATGAAGGACCCCACCCACCCAGCACACACACTTTTTGCCCCACTCCCCTCAGGAAGGAGGTTAAGGAGCATTAAGTGTAGAACCACTAGACTGAGGAACAGCTTCTACCCTGAGGCTGTTAGACTCATGAATATCTAACTAGAATAATCACTGTGAAAAACCATATCATGTTGCTGCTGATCTGTTTCATGTTGCTGCTGATCTGTTTCAATGTTGATGTGTTCATGCGTGCACATCTGCTCACATACTCATGTTCATGTTTGTGCTGATGTTCAATGTTTTATGTTATGAGTGCTTAGTGTATATTTAGTTGATGTTTTTCTTAGTTCATATCTTAGATGTTATTACTGTTTTTCTTAGACATTTTATTGTTGGATGTAACTGGGACCCCGTGTACATAATTTCGCTCCACCACATGTACCACATGAGGTGCGAATGACAATAAAGAAACTCTGACTTTCATCCATCGGGCTCGTACGCAACGGCCTTGGGTTTGAAAGACATGTTTTTATGAGCCATCGCTCTGCTGTACAACTGCCTTGATAACGGGTAAACATGTTTTGCTCTGCTCGAACATCACCCAGCCAGAGGGGGAGTATAAAAGTGTAACGCTCAGAACAAGAGTTGAAGTCTGCTGTGGATCCTGATCCGATGCCCAGCCTGAATTGATGCTACCTTTTTACTCGGACTGAAACGGCTTCCCGGTCTGGTGTCACGGTGAGGGGCTTTTTACATCAATAGCTATGTTTACATGCACAGAATTCTTTGACTGGATTGAAATGTGTTCTGTTTGAATAATTCAATTGTGTTGTTTACATGGGCACAATCTGTTCATGACGAGCGTTTACATGCAGCGGGCTTTGTTCTGAACAGCAGTACTGACATGCGCAGAGTGGTAAATTCTCCTTTAAAAAAAAACACCGAAGAAGTTCTACTTCCGGGGTGAACGTAAACAAACCTGAGCACCCAAAATGGACCTGCGATAGGTTTTAATGATGATGGAGACGTTACTGCACTCCCTGACTGAGCTACAGGTAATACAGATCATTTTGAGCTCTTTCAAAGTTTCTAGTAGAAATGTTGTGTCGCTCACCGACCAGTTTTGCTTCCCTGACATGCTAATATTATTAGCGTTAGCCAGGCGGAAATGGCAAAGTCGCACATGCGCAGTCAGGTCAGTTTTTCACGATCAGATAAAAATGAACAGATCAAGCGTTTACATGCGCACCGATCGGGTTACGGATCTGCGTAAACCACCCGTTTCGTTCTGATCACAAATTATATCGGATCGCGCTGAATACACAAAAAATAACCCAAACGGTGTGTTTACATGACACACTTTTATTCCGACCGGACATTTGATCCGGTTACTTATGTCCATGTAAACATACCCCATATCTGATTTGTACTGAATGTACTTGTGCTTTGCTGTATCTGTGACGGTGTAATAAAAATTACACATTATTATTCTAGCAGAAACAGCCTGTGAGTTTTTTTTTATTCATTGCTCCGACCATTTTCCCCGAACCTGTATTTTGTTTAAGATAATTTCATAGATCCTTCTCCTGTGATTGCTGCAGAATGTGGTCTGGCATTATCGTGTTGAAAAATGCAGGGTCTTCCCTGAAAGAGATGACGTCTAGATGGGAGCATATGTTGTTCTAGAACCTGAATATAATTCTCTGCATTAATGGTGCCTTTCCAGACATGCAAGCTGCCCATGCCACAAGCGCTTATGCAACCCCATACCATCAGTGATGCAGGCTTCTGAATGGAGCGTTGATAACAACTTGGGCTATCCTTGTCCTCTCTGGTCCAGATGACATGACGTCCCAGTGTTCCATAAAGAACTTGAAATCGTGACTCATCTGACCACAGAACAGTCTTCCATTTTGCCACACCATTTTAAATGACCCCTGGCCCAGTGCAAACGTCTGAGCTTGTGGAGCTTGCTTAGAAATGGCTTCCTCTTTGCACTGTAGAGTTTCAGCTGGCAACGGCGGATGGCACGGTGGATTGTGTTCACTGACAATGCTTTCTGGAAGTATTCCTGAGCCCATTCTGTTATTTCCTTAACAGTGGCATTCCTGTTTGAGGTGCAGTGACGTTTAAGGGCCCGGAGATCACGAGCATCCAGTAGAGTTTTACGGCCTTGATCCTTACGCACAGCAAAGGTTCCAGATTCTCTGAATCTTTTGATGATGTTATGCACGGTTGATGATGATAACTTAAAAGTCTTTGCTATTTTACGCTGGTAACACCATTCTGGTATTGCTGCACTATCTTTCTGCGCAACAATGGTGGAATTGGTGATCTTCTTATCATCTTGGCTTCTGAGAGACACTGACACTCTGAGAAGCTCTTTTATACCCATTCATGTTGTCAATTGACCTAATTAGTGTTAATTGGCCTTCCAGCTGTTCGTTATATGCTCAAATTCTTTTTTCCAGCCACTTATTGCTACTTGTCCCAACTTTTTTGGGATTTGTTGACACTGTGAAATTTTGAATCAACATATTTTTCCTTTAAAATGTTACATTTACTCAGATTAAACTTTTGATCTGTCATCTATGTTATATTACGAATAAAATATTGACATTTGCCATCTCCACATCATTGCATTCAGTTTTTATTCACAATTTGTTTTTTGTCCCAACTTTTTTGGAATCCGGTTTGTATTTACAGTAAAATGTGTTCTCTCAAACCATACTATTGTGTGGGATGTGCAAAATATTCTGTGTTGTGGGGGGAAAGAGTTGTAAGAGGCAGGTGCTAGCCAGTAGAAAGGACAAATGAGTAGTAGTTAGACATTTTTCATGCAGTGTGTCTTGCTTATAGGAACTTGTCTGGCTGATAAATGTCTACAGATGTCAGGTGGGAAATGATTTCTCCCAGCAAACTGAAACGGTCTCTTCTATTACTCATCCTGAATGGCATAGCAAAGGATAATAATTGTGCTGAAATGGTTCAGTTATTTCTTTGACCCTCAAGACAACGGTTGTCTCGGAAAGTATTGTTTCAGTTTCTAAAATTTTCAGGCAATGCAGGCCAGGATGTCTCTTTCAACATCTGTCTAGGGAAATTTACCGTTCCGTTTTGAATTGAAACTACATGTGCATGAGTCACTTAAGGTTATTGCTCAACATCATCCAGTTCATGAAATTATCCAGTCTTTATTTGTTTACTTATTTATTTATTTTAAGAAGTTCTCACTTTCTTTGAGACATACAGGTACTTTTAGATCTCTTGTTTTTAGTTTTTGGGTTTGTTGTTCTATCTTCTCTTACCTTTTATCTCTCAGCATGCCAGTCACACTTGACACCAAGCATCAGTCGGTTCCCAGAGATGTTTGGACACTGAAATATCAGGTGACTTAACAGAAAAGCATAATCCAACAGGGCCAAAGTGCTGGATCTTTATCCTAGATTTGAATAGAGATATGAGCATGCCTGATAAACATACCAGCTGTGTGTTGTCAGCTGCATACCTCCCTCTGGGACTGTTATGTGAGGGTATTTTTATGTTTTTCCTCAGTTTCTCAATAATCTGTTTGTTCCCAGCAGCATCACGCTGGCAGAGGGCCTCTGTCTTCTCCTGTTCCACGCATGCCGGCCTGGATCTTCAGGGGGATTTTGGCTACTTAGCTTGGGTTTACATCTTTTAATTTCAAGGCTTGCTTAACACACTTCAGTCTGTGAGCTCCTGTTCAACAGACTAGAGGGGCTTAGTTAACAGGCCTAACAACATTTTGTTGGATATATCCACTGATCTCCTATGGGGCACAGTTGTTTCCTAAATGTTCATCTGCTAATGGCCCAAGATTTTTTAATGACCAAAGCCAATGAGGCTCTACTTTTGAATTTTATGAAGATGTTAATATGATGACCTAAGAATACTTGGGCATTTAGTTGAACATTGTTTTTTTGTATCATTGTGTACTCATAATAACAATATAGTCAAATACTGTAATGCTCTCTTTACTCATTCTCTGCCTTTCATATTTTGATTTACATCTCACAGTGATGGACACACAGGGGGTGTTTGCAGCCTTGTACAGCGTGTGTGAAGAAAATGCTGCTTTCTTCTCGGGTGGAGCCAAGGGGTCGCATGGTGATGCAGCCCGACGGCTGGTAGAGGCCATGAAACTGATCCAGGAGCACGCTCGCAGTCTGGAGCCGGTTATTTCAGGCTTTGCTGCTGTTTACCATCATTTTGACTTTGACCCACACATCCCTGCTAATGGCTACCGCTCACTGGTCAAGGTAAGCTGTGAAAAGTCCTTTTGTCTGTTTGAGTCAAATCGTTAGTGTTTCTCTTTTCGGCCTTGCTGCAACTCTGAGAGCAAACAGCCTTAAAACAACACATTGCACTCTGAACAATATTCTATCTCCTGGTGAGAAACTACTCTCCAGCACTCTTTGACTTGGTATTGCTTTGTTTCAAGGGCAGTGTGTTTGTTGCAAAGATTGATTTTATGTTGCAAATTGGGTAAGATAAATCCTCCCTCCGCAGCATTCTTCACCACTACTGTATCAGCTGTTTTTTTTTAATCTTGGACAGTTATCGATGAAACATCATGACCTTCAGTTGGTGCAGATCACCGATGTGTCTGCCAGCAAATGAATACTGCTCTTTTTTTCAAGCTCCTTCTTTTCCACATTTATAATCTTTTTAGGCCCTGCAGTACAACTCGCACAGTTTTGGAACACCCTGGTGAAGCAGCAAGTTTACTTTCTTTGTAATGTTCTCATTTTAACTTGCTGTCACGCATCATAATATTCTTGCAAGCTTATTACACTAATCTTAATTAAAACTTGAGCACACCCATTGGTCATGTCTGTTTGTTGAGGGCACAGAATTACGAGTTGCTTTATTCCAACTTTGAATGGATGCATCAGTTTCTTTTTAACCATACCAGGAATAAACATTTTGTGCAAGTTGTCCTTGTATTTCCTGGTAAAATAATTGAGTAATTAATGTATGTTTATTTAATTCAGTTTCATAAAGTATTCTTTTTAGTAAAATGAGATATTTGAAATGAGCATTTTAAAGATGGTTGCCTGTTTTCAAATAGCGGTGATAATTTTTTTTTTCAAATAATCCTCAAAGTTTTGACGTACTGTATTTTTTTCTAGGTCGTACGTTGCTGCCTTCTCCATATCATCCACAAGGGGCGCTACATCACAGCTAACCGTCGCAGCATCTTCTTCAGAGTAGCCCATAACGCGGGCGAAATGGAAGCGTACTGCAACGCTCTGTGCCAGCTGCGTGCCCTGCTTTATCTGGCCCAGCGCATGCTACATGACAACAGCCATGGCAACCTGTTTTTCCAGGATGAAAGTGGACTCAGTGAGACTTTTGTCCGTGAATATGCATCAATGCATAAAGGATGCTTCTATGGCCGTTGTCTGGGCTTTCAGGTGAGATGAGGTTTACTGCAATAGAATAAAAATGGGAAATGTTGACGAATGAGAGGGTGACATTCGGTTTCTTTGGGGTGTGAAAACTTAATTGTCAACAAAAAAGGTTGAAGTTCTGTAAAGAACCGTGAGAACAAAGGATTTACTCTTAAATATGTTGTTTTAAAATACTGTTTTTTTTTTCTCAATGGTAATGTAGATGGGAGGGTTAGGCTTTAGTTTTTAATAGTTATTTCAGTTTAGTTTTAGTTATTTTTGTTCATTTCAATTAACGTTAATGAAAGATGCTGAGCTATCAGCACACAGAGGCCAAAAGAGAAGTGAATGGGCTGAAATGTATAAAACTATTCAGAACAAGACCCATCTATTTCCATTTGAACAATTGCATCATCATACTTGTAAGTGCATTTCTTGTTCTTGTAAAAACCACAGATTAAGCTTTAGAATTCGTTTCTGCTCCCTCCAGTTCACTCCAGCTATTCGACCATCTCTTCAGACGATTGCTATCGGCCTTGTGGCCTTTGGAGAAAACTACAAGCGCCATCAGTCAGGAATAGGTCAGCATCATCTCATCTTCAGTGGCACCTTCTCATCATCCAGTCACATCATTCTCATTCATGGACCACACTCCTTCATCCTCACATCTTTTCTACAATCCTCTTTGGCCCCTCACTATGTACCTTTTTGATGTTGTGTGTTTTGAATAGTAGATGCTCTTTCATCCTTTGCCATCTCCAGGGCTGGCCGCTGTTTCTTGCATATTTCAGAATGTTTTGAACATGCACACACAGTTAACTCTAGAGTTGGTAGAAAGAAAGAGATGCACTATCATGTACACAGTTTACACAGTTGTGATGCACACAAATATTTTACGAAGAAAAACAACAACATTTCTCCCACTCTGATTCTGTCTTGTGCTCTGTGCTGCGCCACAGTGGACACAGGAGGTATTGCACCTTATGGTGAGTGTGTCAGAACCTCTGCTTCTTCATTGTGGAAAGGCATTTTAATTACAGAAATTTACCAAACCTCCTGGTTTGCATTGTAAGTTGTTTTCGATGTAGCTCTATTTTAATTTGAAAATTAAAGATGTCATAGATTTAGGTAATCAAAAAATTTACTTTCTTAATTCCAGCTTTGTCATAGAATGAGCAGTTAACAGCACTTTTAAAGCAGAAAAGATCCGTTGTACAATCTAGTGCGTCTCGTCTTAATTAACAGTAGCACAATATATTAAGTATTATTCTTGTAGCAAGTAAATATAAATACTGAAACCAGCTGACTCCCCTCAGGGTAACAGACTTTTTGAACTTATACATTTTTGTTTGCTGTGTCAGTTTCTTGCTTTCTTTTAGTGTTTTGCTTTCCTTTTTGATATCCACTTACTTTTTCTTAATTCCCTTTTTAAACCATCCATACTTTTTGATTTTGTAGCTGCCTTTTTTCCAGCTTTTGTTTTTGACTGTTAACTTTCATCAAGATTTCACCCTTCAAACAAACCATTGCATGTTTCCTTTTATCTCTAATCTGCACTTTGCTTTTTTCAATATACATTTTTTTCCATTCTTCTGACCCTTGTGCAACCTCCATATTATACACCTTCTTCATTAAAATCCACCCTATTCCCTTTCCCAGGTGTGGCAGCCAGCTCTTTCTTCACCTCTGGGAAGTATGCCATCGACCCCGAGTTGAGAGGGGCAGAATTTGAACGCATCACCCAAAACCTGGACGTCCATTTCTGGAAGAGCTTCTGGAACATCACAGAGACCGAAGTCCTGTCAGTGAGTAAACACAAATATGAAGATAAAGAAGTGCCATGGTATTTAAGGTTTCATTGTTATCTGTGGGCATGGATATATAAAGATTATTGTTCTACCCTTCTTATTTTAAATCTGTATTGTGTTTATAGTATTTTTGACAAGTAAAAGTCTCTTATTTTTATGCATTTTGACCCATAGGCCATAAGTGTTGAGAGAGGAATTCAGTTTGTCCACTTCGGTTCATGGGTTATTCACCCAGGTTCTCTTTTCTTGCAGAGTCTCGCTAGTATGACATCCACTCAGGTCAAGGTGAACCGAGCTCTTTCAGTCCCCGCCGTGCCCTTTGACCTTCCACAGGCATCCAACCACAGAGCGTCTGTGACCATAGCTCCACCATCAGCCCACACCGGCCCTGCTCCTGTTCAGATGAGACTCATCTCCTATGATTTGCGTGAAGGGCAGGTAAAAAAAGAAAAACTTCACAAACCAACTTTATGCTAAACTTTAATTACCAGCTTTTTATGAAAGTGTCTTTTTAAGCTGTTCGTATAGTTGCTTAATTTTAGTTTCTTTTCTTAGGTTGTTGTTATACCACTTAGTCAGACATTTTTTGTATCTTTATTTTTTTATGATTTAAATAATATGTCTGTCTTTTAACAAACTAGTGTAGCTGAATATTAACTTTTAATCTTAGAAGTTTTCTGCTTATAGGCGTGACTATTTTATTTTGTTGGACTATTTTTTTTTTCTTCTCAACTCTGGTTTCATCATTCAGGGGACCCCCTCCCTCCATTCACCAGCAAAAATCCTCAATTTTTGTTCTGTGAATTAAAGTGCGGCAGGGATCTGCTGCAGAGCAACTATATACCATATTTTTCAGACTATAAGTCGCATCTTTTAGCATAAATTAGCAAGTCCTGCGACTTGTAGTCCAAAGCGACTAATTTACATTTTTTCCCAATACTTATAAGACAATTTTCAGCTGAGATCTGACAGTTTCATTCATTCTGCCATGGAAAACATTGAAAGCTACCATTTTCAGCTGCTAGAGGGCCCTCAAGTAATATGGCAAGCCAAGTGTCTCATTAACAGCCACTTTTACCTATTAATGAGACACTTGGCTTGCCATAACAAAGCCACCTTCGTCTCGCTCCAGAACTCCTGGAGCTTCATTTTGCCACGACACCCAGGCGAAATGCAGCTTATTCGACCCATTAAAGTGCATTTATTAATGAAAAGTTAAACTGAGACACACCTTTGCTATAATGTTGAGCAAACAAATAATTGTTTTTAAGTGTTAATCTTATTAAATTCTTGTTAAAGTCCTCCCGTGCATGCTGCTGCGGCCGCCATTTGGCAGCCAATTGATTTTTGGCGCAACATCGGCCCACGTTTCCAGGTTGTCAGTGGTGACGTGTAACAAACGTGACGCATCAGCAGTGACGCATAATAGGTGTGACTTATAAGGCAAAGCAACTTATTTATGCTTTTTTCTACTTTATTAGACATATTTGGACTGATGCGACTTATATGGTGGAAAGTACAGTAATTATCCTTGTAGTGAAGCCCTGTTTCTCACACTAGCAACAAAAGTTTTATTTAAATGAGGTTGTGTTTGCAGTGCGTACAGTATTAATACAGTTTTTATTTTGTGTGAGGCAAACCTGATCAATGACCATGAAAATTTTATTTCTTAACGATAAATGTTGCTTGTCTCTCTCTTCACCCCCCAGGACAGTGAAACTCTGCTATCTCTCTGCCGCTCTGAGGGGGGTGCCATTTCTCTATCGCTGGGACTGAAGACCAAACGCCTTCCTTCTTCTCCCTGCCTCCTGATCCACTTCCACGGTGGAGGCTTTGTGGCTCAGACCTCCAAGTCCCATGAGGTGAAATGATTTTTCTCTCTAGGTTGTATTTCTAGGCTCTTTCCCAGACGTGTTCTCTTGCTACTGTTAGAAAAGCAAAAACAATTATTCAGCGCTTTAATCACCCATTAAAAAAGACTAAACTGGAAAAATATTTGTATTATCTAATGCTTTATTGTGCATTATGAAGTGATAATATGGATGTAATTGTAATAATTATAATGACACAGACGGTAAAATGATGAATGCCATGTGGCAGCTTTGCATAAGAATATTATTCCACACCTGGCTTTGCTGCTGTTTAGATTTGAGTCGGTTTTACCTACGCAGTCATCCAGCTTTATTCACCTTTGCATTCCTTCAATGTTTACTCCGTCTAATTGTAACTGAGTCCCAGATAATTAAAGAGACAGACACAAGCTGACAGCAGAGGGGCCCATAGGTTACCCATTTGTCTTTTCTCCTCTGTAGTGTGACACGTAATAAGCTGTTAAGTTAATTATTTATGTAATTATCCCTTGAAAAGTTAATAGACACTATGACCACTCTCCATGCTTTTTTTATTGGCAAGGTGCATGATAAGCTGGCCCTTGACTCTCAGCTATATTGCTGCATCCTGTCATTTACTTCATCCTAGTTGCTCTTTTTAGATTTACTTTATACATGACTATGACGAGCTAATGTGACAGTGTATGAACTTTAAGGAGGATGAGCAAACTTGGTTGATTGTAATAAGAGAGATTTAATATTTTTTACTGCTCCTTGTCCCTGTTCCTGGGCATTTGTGGCTGTTTGCAAGTTTTGGCGACTTGCCGCTCTTTCAAGACAAGGCTCTGTGAAATTGCTGAGGACATGGCCATCCTTGATCTGCAGCTGCATGGTCACGTGAGGATGAGAGGGAGCAATCATGGGGTGAGGGAGGCTGTCAAGTTGAATTAAGAGAATTGTACAGCCTCGTGGAGATAAACTACCCCAAACACTAACGGTATATCATCATTTTTGCCTCTCCTTTATTTTAGGTTGCCTCACAGTCTTGCCAGCAGTCCACATCATTTTTTTAGTGTTTATTTTTCACAGTTTGGCACCACTCACTTGCTGCCTCGCATGTTTTTTCTGCAGCCTTCTTCTGTGTGAATTCCTAATAAGAGGACCTGTAACAGAGAATAAAAAAGTCCCAGGTTTCTCTGTTAGAAATGTTATTTCTTGTATCCTTCCCATGATCCCGTCTCTTTTTCTCCTTAGCAAACTAGAGTTTGATCTCAGCTGCAGGAAGCTATAGTGCTCTCATTTCACAGCAAAGCTGTGATCAAAAATGGATGTAATAACATCTATGAGTTTAGCAGCTTGGGCTGAGCCTCAAGTGTTGGATAGTAGATTTAAAGAACTGCAGATTAACAGCTTTGCCCGTCTGAATGTGAGTGGAATCTCTCATTAATTCCCTCTTTGGGATTCGAAGAAGTGTAAATTTAGAGTCATGTAAAATTAAACTGCCTCTATCCCACCTCAGCTAAAACACACATCACCTCTCTGCCCACTGGACCATTTCTGAGTGGTTAGCTTCTTTTTTCAGGCACATGATTAGCTGTCTTGACTGACAGTCCTGCCCTTTGACTCAGCTCCATGTTGACACTCTTTGTAGACTGCCAAGCAAGAGGTGTTGTTCTCACTCAGCATTACACACTCATCCACACCTCGGGAATACCTTTACTGATTCACACTCTAACCAAAGCCGTGTTTACACACTTTGCTGTTGCCTTGATCCAAGGTTTACTGTGACGAGTAGGGCTTAAAGACATCAAAGTTAGTTCCTGTTTTCTTTTCTGCTTTTGCTGAATTGCTTGTTGGTAACAAGCATGCACCTTTCTTTCCCTGGCATTGTCACTTTGACCACAAGCACTGACACAGCAAGTAAAAAACCCCATTAAAGAGCAGAACAGAGAAAGAAAGGGGCAATACTTTTAGAAAAAATACCAAAGCTTTCAATGTTTTTCTCATATTTTAAGGTCACTGCAGCTGTAGGTACTTAATGTTTGTATAACAAGAATAAAAAGGAAAAAAAAAATCACTTTGTATTCTAGTAGTATTTTTATAGACTGTTCTTGTGAGACCACACTATATTGTCAATTTTGCGCTGTCAATTTGACTGCAGAGTAGAACATGAGGCAGCTTTTATTACAGTATCAAAAAGAGAGGAAATTGAGGTGACAATGAGGGCAGTTCTCATTCTTTTGTCTTGTCAGTAAGTCAAAAAACAGACAGATGACATCAGAGGGATGCATAATGTTCATTTTAACCTTGTCTGAATGTTCACCCCCATCTGCCTTTAAAACATTTACTAATGTATTTTTTCATGGCTGCAGTAGAACAGTGGTCAGTTCTATGGTCTCACTATCCTGATGCTGTGGGTTTGAGCCCAGGTGGTGTCCGTAAGGGCTTCCAGCGTAAAAATAATGATCTAATCTGTCATCCGAGTTTGCTTGCCTTGGCAAACCTTGCAGAAGGAGCAAGCAAAAGAAAATCAACAACTAATGATATATATTTATCATTTATGAGATTGTCCCTCTGTGTTTTAATGCAGCCATATCTGAAGAGTTGGTCCCAGGACCTTGGAGTCCCTATCCTATCAGTGGACTACTCGTTGGCCCCTGAAGCCCCCTTCCCTAGAGCACTGGAGGAGTGTTTCTACGCCTACTGCTGGGCTCTAAGAAATCATCACTTGCTAGGTACGTGCATCGCACACATTTTACAATGCAGTTTTTTCAGTATATTTGTATATAATTCGTTAGAGTTTGAATAGCACTTTTTTTTCCTCAAATCTGCTCATTTTATGCAAAATTAATAATGAAGCATATTAAATTGGATAAAATTGCTGTTATTATTTAGTCTGTGCTGTATAAATTGTAGTTTTAATATGTTAGTTTAATTTTATTACATATTAATAACTGAATAGAACTGAATGCCGTTTGCTGCAACTCTCCCTCAGATGTGAACCATATGGAAATGATAAAAGCATATAACTTTGAAAATTAGAAAATGTTTCTGACATCTTTTTTCGTTTGTGTTTCACTAGGTTTGAAATTCTTCACAAGCTAAAACAAAACAAAAACGACTTTTATTTTTCTAAATTTTGTCCAAATAAACAAACATCCCACACAGAAAAATGTTTTTGTGTAGATTTTACAGTGGTGTTCTGCTGCATCCTACTTCTGTCAGTAGGTTTTAAGGTGCCTCGACAACTAGACAAAGTCATGAAGTTGGAAAGACGGACTGATGGTGTCAGATCGGGCTAAAACGATGAAATGCACAAAGCTAATATTTGCAATAATTGCGATGCCTCTGAACTTCTAAAAGTCTAACTCTGAAAAACCAACATGATTTTAATATTACCTTGTTATAAAACATGAGTAACGAGGAACAAATGGTTGTCGTAAAGGCTGCAGAGGGTAATTTATGACTAAATGGTTCTATTTTATGAATAAACAAACAACAATGTAAAGTTCAAAAATTATAGACAAAGTTACGAGGTGTCCCAACTGTTTCACGTTAAAGTGCTTCTCCAAATCCTCAGCGTTGCCTGATAATTGTTTGGATGTGCTGCGAACTAACTGATCACTTGCTTACTTTTATTTTTCTTGCTGTTCTATTCAGTAAAATAGAATAATGAGTAAAATCTATTCAGACAAAAAAAATGGAAGACGTGTCAATTTGGCATGCACCTGAAAACCAAGCACTTCGTCACATAGATTATGATTATAGTGCAGTGTGTTAGCAGTATAAAAGTTTATATCTAAACTAAAAGGAAATCAGTAAGACATCTGTTAATAGTTGTTACACATCATCAGGCGTCAAGAAAAAATCCAAGCTTTACCTGCATCTCGTGAGTTTGGAGAATAAAACTGAACCTTCAATGTTGTGTTTTGTTTGTTTACCCTCACTTCTTATTATTTAATGTTGTCTTCAGGGTGGACTGGAGAGAAAGTGTGTTTGGCTGGTGACAGCGCAGGGGGAAACTTATCTGTGACAACATCAATGCGTGCTGCTGCCTTTGGTGTGCGGATGCCAGATGGCATTGTGGCAGCCTATCCAGCTACCTTACTGACGGCCTACGCATCGCCCTCCCGTCTGCTTACGCTTATGGATCCCCTGCTGCCTCTCAGCGTGCTTTCCAGGTGTCTCAGTGCCTATGCAGGTAAGACTGTGTGGATTGGTTGAAGATGTGTTGTTCCAAGTTTCTTGTTGAGAGTTGATTCTTAATTTATTTTATTTTATTTTATTTTTTTTCCCTGGTCTTTTAACCATGCAGGTCTTGCATTATCTAAACATAATGTTCAGGATGAAAACTAACAGTGATGCCAAATGTCTTTGTAGTAAAAACAGTTATTAAATTGCAATTTAGTCTTTTCACAATAGAATAAGGATTTTCGGGTTTTTTTTATTTATTTTTCCAACAAATTAAAAAAGATTTTTCACTGCCTAATTAAGTTATCCAAGTCATTTCTTTTTTTTTTTTATCTAAATGAGATACTTGTTTCTGTTTTACAAAAGCAGCATTAATTATAAAACCATAAAACCTATCATCTGCTCTTGTATCTTAATTGTTCCAATCCACAATCTCTTTCACAGTGTTTTATAGCTCACAGAAGTATCTTGTCTTTATAAAATACAACAAACCGCCATTATATTGTACACCATTTTTGTTAATGAATCTTATCAAAACAAGTGGTTTGCTAAAAAATGTATTCATCTGTTAGACAGCATGTTAGCTATTGTATCTGTAGCTATTTTTAAACAACAACTCAGAACTCAGTTGAAATTAACAACATTCTTATACTGTCATTAGGAGTTGGGAAAAGCTGGAGGAAAAAAAAAAAAAAAATTGTATATATATATATATATATATATAAATTTTTTTTTTTTATTATGCCCACCGAGAGGTGGATGTATTATGGTATATTCTGCCTTCCATATACATGTACATAAACTTTCTCTTGTCCTGTGCAAGTGCTCAAGATAATTTAACAAAATTTCATACACACATGCATACTTTCTTCACTCCAGCTCCAAGGTCACGATCACAAATCAAGGTCAAATTAAAAGCGAGGTCTTTGCTTGTCCAAACCAAAACTTCTTATTCACTCGAGTTAATTTAATGAAACTTAATACAAATTTGTACCATCTGTATATGGTGTATTGCGTAATATTTTCATCACTCCAGCTCCAAGGTCATGACCACAAATCAAGGTCAAAGGTTATATAAGGTCATTCCTTGTCTGGGCCATTGCTATAGAATGTAGCATCGCTGTATAATAGTTTGTTGACGTATCGTATGCACATATGTAGATGTCCATTGAACACTGCAAAATGTGGCAACTGATCCTGAACACTGTCAGAAATTTTGTCCATTATCTATGTATTATTTGTATTAGAAGTATTTTAGTGGCAGCACCATACTGCTAGAATTTTTTAATTTCATTATTGGACTGTTTCTGTTCATTGCTTTGCCATCTCCTTTGTTGTTACTCCTCAAAGCCCATCGAAGACAACCTTTTTTCCCCTCTTTTTATTATCTATTTTTTCTTCACGTCCCTCTCGGCAGGTAATGAGCCGCAGACTGAAAAGCAGGTAGAAAAAGTGAGCACGCTGAGCCTGGTGAAGAGAGATACAGCACTGCTGCTGCGAGATTTCCGGCAGGGAGCCTCCAACTGGATCCAATCTCTGCTGGATCCCAACAGAGCTTCAGCGTCCTCCAGCACAGCTGCAGAGGCACCACCAGGAGCTTCTGATACACCAACAACTGGTGTGTGTGATTGTGTGAATATATATTTAATACGGTAGGAAGGTAAAAGGTATGGGTGGTTTGAAAGTATGATTGTTGGCAGCTATTACATTTAAAGTTTCCCAAAAAAAGCATCTGAGAAATGCTTGTGTGTTCATCTGTTTTAGGTAGAAATACATTTTTAGTGAGAATAAGTTTGAAGTGAAACCTAGTGCCAATGGTTGAGTTCATTGGTGACTTGTGGATTGATATTAAGTTTAAATTGTGTGTTTCTGAGCCAGTCTGCTATGAGAAAATTCTGTTTGCGTGTGCTTTACCACACGTTTCAGTGTTTTACTACATTTGTTTCTGCGTTATATACCCATCATCATCATCAATCTGCCAAAGTTTTACAGCCCATATGAAGGAGGTCACCGATGTGGATCCTCGTTTTGCAGCTTTCAACTAACCAATTATTGCTTTAACACACTCTGTTGCATAATACTCCGGTAGCCCGCAGCTCACATGAGCTGTCCTTGTTGGAGCAGCAAAGCCTCGACAGTAGTTGTTAATTGTAGTCACAGTAGACCTGAAAAGGTATTCTAATTTTATTGGTGTCATCCAAGTTCAGTGACACTCTCAGAGCTTCAAGCCCAACCTAATCAGAGCACCTGAGGTGGGTGTATATCATTAAAAGGCCATCGTGGTGCTGCAGTGGTTCTTAATTAAAAAGATGGTAGATCTGCAGTGCTTCGTAAGGAGACGAGCCGTGACGACACGGTGGCGTTTTGACAGCTCAGGGTGGGACGTTGATGGTGACAGCTCTTTGTGAATTTCTTCCACCTACTTCTCTTCTTCTTGATGTATCCCAATTTGCATTTTGGGCTTTTAACTGTTGGCTGTCAACCAGTGGACATATGAGAAGCCTAAGCAGTAGAGTAAGTGAAATTGATTGCGAGTCACTTAGTGTTACTTTATTTGTGAAACGACCTCCAACTTCCATTTATCCCAGGTGAATTGTAGACGGCCTCCTTTGAATTGCAGCATGTTGAATACTTTGTGCGTTTAATTTATTTTCTCCTCCCTTTTGGTTCCTAGTGAGGCAAAGTGTTTCAGCTGCATCTATCACTTCCCCTCACGCTGACCCTCCTGTGCCAAACGAGCCGTCGGAGTCTCCCAGCAGGAAATTATCTGTGAAGAGCAAGACATGCCAGGACTTGGGAGCCCACAACAACGCCATCCCCCAAAGCCCACCGCTGATCTTGGAGGAAGCAGTATGTCACGATCTGACTTGTTTACATTCATATTAGCTTGCTCTCATATCTGGACAATGTTAACTCCATGAAACTTCCAAGAGCGGTTGGTGTGGGAGTTTTCCCTGATAGAGGAACATGTGGAGAGACATTTTCCACCAGCCTCTGATCAGTTTCTCTGGTTTCACACAGCTTGCATCAACAGAGTCTTCCAAACAGTTATCGAATTTTCAGGTTTGAACAGTTTTGCAGCGTGGAAATATTTTGACTCAACCCTGTAAAAAGCTGCACTTTTTGGACTTTGATGAACTCATCTGAAGTTATTTCACCATCTCTCCCAAAGAGATTAAACTGTAAAATGCTTACAGAAAATCCAAAACTTTTTAGCCACAGATTATTTTAGCTTTTTTTTTTTATCACAGACAGATTGGATTAGCGCCAGGCTTTTGGAAACAAATAGCAAGTAGTGACGTAAGACATTTAATATGCTTTTCCTTCTCGAAATTGGGATTGCTGGGCTAAGACTCTGACACTGCCAATGATTTTAGATTTTCAGTTTTAGTGCTGTCTATGCATATATAAACAAGTTTGCTATTAAAATATTAAAGCTTTTACCTTCTCTTTTCACCTCTCAGTTCTGTATAACCAAAACGTGTTTTGTCCCTCTTTTATAGACAGAAAATGTGAGTTTCTTCCTCTCTGGGGAAAATGATACCTCCACGTCCTACGACTTGTCTTCTGTGGCCATTCCACCCCCTGCTAGAGAGGATGGATCAGAGCTGGAGCACCCCAGGGAGTTTCCCCTGGGCTTTGAGCCTCTGCGATCTGAGCAGCTGGCTGAGATGAGGATGCAGAGCTCTCCAGTGGTCAAGGATCCTTTCTGCTCACCTCTGCTGGCTCCTGACACAATGCTCAAAGGGCTGCCTCCTGTGCACATAGTGGTAAGCTATAAGTTTGATGTATTAACTCATATTTATTTTTATAAATCTAACTTCCTTTAGAATATTAAAATAGTTCATTGAACCTCTGACGTCAAATAATTTGAAGTGGTGATTAGTTTACATTTACTGTATTTTCCACCATACATGTCGCACCGCCTTCCTTATAAGTAGTATCAGTCCAAAAATGTCCAATAAAGTGGAAAAAGCATAAATACGTCGCTTTGTTGTATAAGTTGCATCTATTATGCATCACCGCTGACAACCTGGAAATGTGGGCTAGTGTTGTGCCAAAAATCGATTGGCTGCCAAGTGGCAGCTGTGGGAGCATGCACTGGAGGACTTTTTAACAAGAATTTAACAAGATTAACACTTAAAAACAATTATTTGTTTGCTCGAGGTGCGTCTCGGTTGAACTTTTACTTAATAAATGCACTTCAATGGTCAAATCGGCTTCATTTCGCCAGGGCGGCGCAGCGAAACGAAGCTGATTTGACAGTGGACGAAGGTGGCATTTATGGCAAGCCAATTGTGTCATTAATAGCCATGTTTATCTATTACATGACACAACAGCATGCCATACTACTCAAGTACCATCTAGTGGCTAAAAATGGTAGTGTTCAATATTTTCAGTGTCACAATGAATGAAAACGGTCATATCTCGGCCAAAAACTGGTGAATAAATGTGAGGGAAAAACCCAAGTCAGTTTGGTGTATAAGTTGCAGGGCATGCAAATTATGCAAAAAACACAACTTATCGACCGAAAAATACGGTACATTTTTTACCATGATAAAGCTGTTGGAAACGTAAAGCATTGCAAAGATAGTGACAAAAATTATCTCAACACATATTTTAAATTCTGTGTAAACCTCTTGTTGGCTTAGAAGAAAAAACTTGCAGAAATGGTCAGAAGCTGGAGAATTACTTTGGTTGTTTCATGCACTCTCCCCACGTAGCAAATCATAGGAGTTGGAGAAAGAAAACGAAGCTGACTCAGAAAGAGTCTTGAGGGATTTTCAAAAATTTGAGTGGTAGGTGAGGTTGAAACATTGTTTTTCTTTTAAGGGTTTTATGTCTATCAGAAAACTGGTGCTGATTTCCAAGTGGCTTTAGTGAGTCGGCAAAACTGAAAAGAAAGCCGTGACAAAAGAGACCGAGAAGCTTGGGTTCCTTTTCTTCGTCCCTTAATTAAGATTCTTGACATGTCTGGTGGAAGTTTAAATTTGCTTTTCACCATTCAATATCTCCTTCTTCACCTCTCCTCCTCTACCCGTCTCAGGCTTGTGCATTAGACCCCATGCTGGACGACTCGGTGATGTTTGCCAAGCGTTTGAGGAGCGTAGACCAGCCTGTCACTCTGTGCGTAGTGGACGACCTCCCCCACGGCTTCCTCAGTCTATCGCAGCTCTCCAGGGAGACGAAGGAGGCCGCCAACGTCTGCGTGGAGCGAATTCGCACCGTCTTCACCCAGAAGGACACCCCCCCAGAGCCGCGCAAACACCGCAAACTGGAACGGACCGATGGGGGCGTATCGGCTCCTTCTGGGGAAACTTGTTCCCCTTTTGTTGGCTCCTATGAGGACGCAGAGCCAGTTGTGGGGAGAGGGGCTAAAACTGCTGATGGGGAGGACTCTGTTGCTGTGGCAGCTCAGAATAACACTGACGCTGGTGGCATCGGTGCTTAAATACAGCTAGATTAAATTTAAAAGAAGGACCAGCTCAGCCAAGGAGTGAAAAAGAGAAAGTTAATGAATGTCAGACTGAAGTAGGCAGTGCCATGCCTAACTGAGAGTTGAAGACAGTACTCTGGGGGTGGGAGGGGGCAGCCTAGAAGATTGCTCTGTGTTTGAAAGACAAAAAAAGAGGAAGTGGAGCTCTGAAATGGATCCTCTTTGAGTTCACAATTCCTCTCGCTTATCTGTGCATCTTTATGCACCAACGCTAATCTGACAGACAAAATGAACACACCCACAAAAAGAAGCCGTGTTTCAGAACGAGATGATAATTTAGATGCTTTTAAGATTAAAGGCACTCACCCACACAGAGCTCAGTCACTTAACAGAGTTTCTGTTGGGTAGCTGAGGCTCAGACACAAAGCAGCACAGAACATTCTTGAGCCCAGGCATGAATGGCTGATTCATAGAGTCTGAGGCAGGCTGTAATCAGATCGTGGTGGCCGCACTGTATGCCTCTGTGTGGAGGCATCCGCATCAACACGGCCACTTTCCTTTAGGGATCCTCTCTAAATCACACTTAATAACTTGCGTTGTCTTTTCCATTATGCCAGTTTGGCAGTCAATACAGCTCGCTTTGTGGATCCTAACTGTGTTGACTCTCTTCTAAATACAATTAGAAAGCTAAACACAACAAACTGAAAAACTCTAAACTGAAAGAATTGATCTTCTTTCTTGAGATGCTGTTGCAGTGTTTTATTTTTCTTGCAGTAAAATTCCATACAGGATTGTTTTGTTTATGTCAGTTCTTGTTATCCCTAACTGACTGACTTAACTGTAAATTAGTTTAATATAATACCAAAGTTTTATATATATATTATATTTACCTCTGCTTCTTTGGGCTTCTGCTGACCAGTCAGTTCAGGTTCATATCCTGTTCGTAGTAATTTCTCTGTTGGAAAGGTGAGTATTCTAAATGGACACAACGTCCCCTGCTGCCTTTGGTAGTACTGTTTTAGTAGACTGCGTTGTATTGATCGTTAAAATGAAACTACGATGTATTCATTTGAAAACGAGCAGGAAAATGTTGGGTCCATTGTTGCACGTCATCGCTTTCAAATAAGCAAAATGTCATTTCAGGATTTGAAATGGTTGCTTGGTATTCTCTTCCTGTGGAAATGGAGTTGGAGTGCACCAGTTAAAAGCCCAGCTCTCGGCTATCATTACACATTTTAAACTTGACAATGTTGACTTCTTTGCAAGTTGTCACGACTTTTTTTTTTTTTTTTTCCCGCCGTGTCCAAGTACCACTTTACTCCAGCCTGGAGATTTCTCATCTGACAGCTTGTTTTCTTTCTGCAACAAGTCAGAGGCTTTTAGGCAAATCTTGGAAGAGCCCTGCTGTCGAAACCAATTGCTGAAGAAAACTGTAAATGTCGCTGAATCGTGTTTGAAGCGTCCTGTGGTTCAGATATTTGCACTTTATGCTACTAAAATTGAGGTTTTTGTTTGTTTTTGATGACTTTAAAACACATTTCTGGACTTGTTCGCATCGAAGTTCTTTAAAGTCAACACAAATGTCCTACAGGAGGTGAGTCCTTACATCAGGTGTCACTCCGTACAGTAGCGTGGCCAACAATGCCGTCTCCTGCCTGGTAATAGACCAGAGGTTGCCAGGTCTGCAGAGAGGACTGCTGTTTGATGAATAGGATTTAGCTGACGCTCCGAGTGTGAAATCCTTCCCCTGTGGAAGTGCAGGATTTTTCAGCAGCAATCATGCTACAGGATTATCATAGTTCTGTCAGCTCCAAGTACTTACTGTAATATTTTTAGTCAGATTGATGGAAAGAATTTATACGCGCTCTCACTAAGATTTTAGACTGGAGTAAGAATTAGCTTGAATACCAGCTGATTTTGCTCACTTAGCATTTTTGCTGCATTTGGTTTGTTGATCTGTGCAAGTTTATTTTAAGCTTAAGCTTTTGTCATCGTCTTTTGTGGTTTATGGCTCAAGCTGTGGAGCAGTTTAAGTATGTGTTTGGAGGGGGGGGGGGACAGAAGCACCCTCTTTGTGTCATGTGTTCGCATAAAACAATTACGACTCTTCACCATCAAGAGACTGTTCAAAACATTAATTATTTTTGTTGAGGGCTAGTACTTTCATGTTAAGCCTCTAAGGGATCGCAGGTTTCGCTTGAAATATGAAGAGTTTGGACTTTTCATAACAAACGATGGATTCTAAGGTTGATTTTTAATTTGCACAAATGTAGAAAAATGTCAACCTTTGACACCTTTTGTGTATTGGCTTTCACATTCCTCCATGATTGAAACTGATGGACACACTCCCAACAGGTGGAACTGCTCAGGTGTTTGTAAAACATCCCCACGGTTAGACATTTTAAAGCTTTAATTCTTGACGAAGTTGTGAATTATTCAGCCGCTTAGATGATTCAGTTGCTTACTGTTTAATAATAATAAAAATAATAATGGCTTTAAGCTGAGTTAAATGATTCAGTGTTTGGAGGACAATTTTAAAGTCATAATTTCGGTGGGTTAAAAACGATTCTGGATGTATTCTATTTGTTTCCAACACGAGTTTTTCACTAGAGATTTCTATTACGGTTCTAAAGTGCAATGCTGTTATAACAGTGAAACATTTAAAGAATAGTTGCATAGGTGGTTTTGCACCAGCAGCTTCTTGATGTGAATCATGCGTCACTCACCAGGGCTTCCCAGATAATATACTGTACCAGCCCATAAACATTTAGTTTATTAAAGTCAGTGTGTATATATATATATATATATATATATATATATATATATATATATATATAACTTACCTCGAGCGCTTCTCAGAAGTGCTTCCTTTTGAGTTGTTTTTTTTGTTTTATGGTTTTCATTTGAAGCAGAGCCTCTGAAGGCAGCCATCATCTTGCAGCAGATGCTCTGTCCTGGTTTGTTGTTGTTAACCGTTACCACTGAGATACAGGTGCTAGTCTGTGGATAACCTGCATTTCATATGCAAATCGCCTTTCATCAATCCAGTATGCTCACTCGTAAAAAAGAGAAGAGGAAAAAAAAGCCATGTATAAGAATTGTTTTTTAATCTTTGTAAAACTATTTTGCTGTAAACACCACAAGTGCAACTGAATGTAAATACACACACGTTATAATTCTTGAATATTTTAGTTTTTAATCGTTTTGGGTTTTTTTTTCCTACTGCATTTTTTTGCAGATTCCATATGCTGTATGTAATGCAGTGTGTAGTCTCTTCTCTTGCTGATTTGTTCTAAATAAATATATTCTCCTATGAATGCTGCAGTCCCGTTTAATCTTTGAAATCAACCCTTTCCGGTCACCGATCAAACAACAAAGAGATACAGTGCCTTGTGAAAGTATTTGGCCCCCTTGAACTTTTCAACCTTTTGCCACATTTCAGGTTTCAAACAGATATAAAATTTAAATTTTTTGTGAAGAATCAACAACAAGTGGGACACAATCGTGAAGTGGAATGAAATTTATTGGATGTGTCAAACTTTTTTAACAAATAAACTGAAAAGTGGGGCGTGCAATATTATTCGGCCCCCTTGCATTAATACTTTGTAGTGCCGCCTTTTGCTGCAGTTCCAGCTGCAAGTCTCTTGGGGTTTGTCTCTATCAGTTTTGCATGTGGAGACACTGAAATTCTTGCCCATTCTTTCTTGCAAAACAGCTCGAGCTCAGTGAGGTTGGATGGAGAGCGTTTGTGAACAGCAGTCTTCAGCTCTTTCCACAGATTCTCGATTGGATTCAGGTCTGGACTTTGACTTGGCCATTCCAACACCTGCATACGTTTATTTGTGAACCATTCCATTGTAGATTTGTCTTTATGTTTTGGATCATTGTCTTCTTGGAATATAAATCTCCGTCCCAGTGTCAGGTCTCTTGCAAACTTGAACAGGTTTTCTTCCAGAATGGTCCTGTATTTGACCCCATCCATCTTCTCATCAATTCTGACCATCTTCCCTGTCCCTGCTGACGAAAAGCAGGCCCAAACCATGATGCTGCCACCACCATGTTTGACAGTCTGGATGGTGTGTTCAGGGTGATGAGCTGTGTTGCTTTTATGCCAAACATATCATTTTGCATTATGGCCAAACGGTTCGATTTTGGTTTCATGTGACCAGAGCACCTTCTTCCACATGTTTGGTGTCTCCCAGGTGCTTGTGGCAAACTTTAAACAACACTTCTTTATGGATATCTTTGAGAAACGTCTTTCTTCTTGCCACTCTTCCATAAAGGCCAGATTGGTGCAGTGTACGACTGATTGTTGTCCTATGGACAGACTCTCCCACCTCAGCTGTAGATCTCTGCAGTTCATCCAGAGTGATCATGGGCCTCTTGGCTGCATCTCTGATCAGTCTTCTTCTTGTTCGAGATGAAAGTTTAGAGGGACGGTCGGGTCTTGGTAGATTTCCAGTGGTCTGATACTCCTTCCATTTCAATATGATTGCTTGCACAGTGCTCCTTGGGATGTTTAAAGCTTGGGAAATCTTTCTGTATCCAAATCCGGCTTTAAACTTCTCCACAACAGTATCTCGGACCTGCCTGGTGTGTTCCTTGGTCTTCATGATGCTCTCTGCGCTTTGAACAGAACCCTGAGACTATCACAGAGCAGGTGCATTTATACGGAGACTTGATTACACACAGGTGGATTATATTTATCATCATCAGTCATTTGGGACAACATTGGATCATTCATGGATCCTCACTGAACTTCTGGAGTGAGTTTGCTGCACTGAAAGTAAAGGGGCTGAATAATATTGCACGCCCCACTTTTCAGTTTTTTTATTTGTTAAAGTTTGACACATCCAATAAATTTCATTCCACTTCATGATTGTGTCCCACTTATTGTTGATTCTTCACAAAAAATTAAAATTTTATGTCTTTATGTTTCAAGCCTGAAATGTGGCAAAAGGTTGAAAAGTTCAAGGGGGACGAATACTTTCGCAAGGCACTGTAAAGTACACGGGATGAGATGAACATTATAAATTTTTGGATATTTAGTGTTTTGTGATTTGCAGAATGATTAATCCCTTACATTACTTTGAACAGTCCAGTTTTAATATGTTCTATATTTTTTCATACATATGTACAACCATAGAATGCTTTTACATTTGGCTCTTTGTCCTTTTCCCTAAAAGTCAAAGCTTTAATCTGAACAAAACCTTCAGCACAAACAAGCGGTCTCACATTTAAAGCCACCAAAATGCCTGCTGTGTATGTTTGTGATAAAAAAAAACGGTATAAATGTCCCAAACTGGGAATAAAGGACACACACAAGCACAATCATTATCTTGTACATCATTCTCCCAAACTATTTACTTTGTTTTTTCAGGCGTCAATAAAATTTTTTGAAGATGTTCCTGCGTCTTTTGTCAAAATCATTATGATTTGAGAAAAGTACTGTCAACTTACTGAAGTTTGTCCTACATTTATACTTGCAAATATCTTACACATTTAAGCTCTTGAGATGCATCCAAATGAGAATAGTCTTGTATTTATTTGGGGGTTATTTTAAACAAAACATTTATATCTGATCTGTAATTCCTAATTACTCAAAAGAATGTTCAAGGTTTTAATCCTTAAGGGGAAATTATAAATACATACGAAGCACTATGACTCGAGAGGAGAAAAATGCCTGGACAGTGGAGGGGTCCACTAATTTTTAAAGCCCCCTGTTGATGGTGGCCCTGCTTTAAAATAGGTCCACCTGGAAACATCTTTCAAATCAGTAAAGTTATAGAAACTCTTAGTAAACCCTGATTATCCCACAGAGCTGCATTAGATAACTGTGTAGTGATTATTTCCCAATAAATCCACCTTTGGAGCCACTACACCACCACCCACCATCAATCTTCAGCAGCTGGAAGAGACCCGCGTGGACGCGCCTCGCCTCCTGCGCCGCTCCACCGTGCGCGCTCCCGAGCGGCGGCAGAACGAGCTTCGGGGAGCCCGGAGATCAGACGAGCCGCTGCGGGGGAGAGAGGAAGATGGAGGTGAGGGTCGGGGAGAGACTCCTGTGGCTGGCCGTGCTGTCCAGCGTCCTCTGCGTGGACTCGGTCCTCGGGAAATACGTGAAAGGCATCGTGGACACCAAAGAGGTGAGCCCCGGTTCTTCTGCTTCCTCGCCGTGACACGGAGAGAACCGAGCAGGCTGCTCCACATCAAGTTCTTCGTGTTTCTGTTCCTAACGTCTCTGTTCATCGCCACCATACCGCCAAACACCGCTTCGGTCGAATGTCGTGGTTTATTTATTTATTTTTCCACCCGTGATATTTGGGACACCGTTGTCCCAGTAAACAAATCCCACAAGTCCACGGCTGCCATCAAGCTTCCGTTAATATTGACCTAATCCTTCGGCCGCATGCGCGTTCATCGATCCTCTGGCTCTTCTTGTTAATTGATTATTGGAGCCGTCACAGGTGTGCGTCATGTTTCTGACAGCTGCCTCTGGAGCCACAGAAACCAGACCCACTCCAGGGTCTGATGTCGACTGGATCCGCATGAGAGCAGAGTGGTTCAAGTTCGACGTGAAGAGTGTTCATCTTCATTTAAAGCGCTGCTCATTAAAGCAGAACATTTTGTGTTTGTTTTTCCTTTTAGCCGTTGTGAAATCAACACTTCCTGAAGATTCAAGATCACAGCATTAACATTTAAAATGTCAAACTTCATGCTCAATCATCCAGGTATCAAATCCATTAAGTCTCAGTCCGGTCATCTGGACAGTTTCTTTTATTTATTATATATATATATATATATATATATATATATATATATATAATGAGAGAGAGAGAGAGAGACGTTTCGCCCTCTATCCAGAGGGCTTCATCAGTCTGAGGAGTTCCAGTAAACAAGCAGTAAATTCCTTAAGTGGACCATCCAGTTTGCTGGTGATAAGTCGTGGACTCCTCCCAGGCAGGCAGCGTGGTTCAAAACATCAAAGTTCAAAGCTCATCCTCAGACTGATGAAGCCCTCTGGATATAGGGCGAAACGTCTTCCCACAAAAAAGAAACTGTCCAGATGACCTGATTGACCGTTACTGAACATTTAAAATAGGTCAGATAGCAATTTGTATTATCCTTGATCTTTTAATTGTGAAAACGTAGGAATTCAAACTAAAAACGAGTACATAACGAAACACAATTGTTGGGGGGGGGGGGGGGGGGAGTGGTGGCGCAGAGGCTAGAGAACGTGGACGTGTGATCGGAAGGTCGCCAGTTCAACTCCCCGAACCGACATCAAAATGTAAGGTGAAACATCCACACCTGCCTCCACCCTCGTTTGCCCCAGTCTGGGCCCTTGAGCAAAGCCTTGAACCCCCACCATCTGCTCCCCCGGGTGCCTAGAGGGCTGTGGTAGCTCAGTGGTCTGTGGTTGCGTCAGGAAGGTCATCCAGCGTAAATACAATCGCCAAATCTTCCATCGCTGTGGCGACCCCTGAAGAAGGGAGCAAAACAAAATGAACAAACAACTAACAACAACAACAACAACAGCAACTGACTGTGATCTCCATAATGCTGAGCTTTAGAAGGTTGCCCTCCAGAGGTTGGATCCCCCTACAGCCTCCTGAAGTGTCCTTGGGCCAAACACTGAATCCTCCGCTAACCTTCATGTGCGTACTGGTGAATGAGTGGGGAAAATAAAAATGCTGTGCGTGTAATATACTGTATGTGTGTGTGTGTATATGTACTGCAGGAGGTTAAGGAGCATTAAGTGTAGAACCACTAGACTGAGGAACAGCTTCTACCCTGAGTCTGTTAGACTCATGAATCTCTAACCAGAATAACCACTGTGAAGAATCACATCATGTTGTTGCTGATCCGTTTCATGTTGATTTTCTTTTACATTTTATACTTTTGTTGGATGTAACTGGGACCCTGTGTGCACAATTTCATTCCACCATATGTACCACATGTGGTGCGCATGACGAATAAAGAAACTTTGACTTCGATATAAGTTTGAACACTGGATGTGTGGGAATAACATTATAAAGCACTTGGCAGATCCTTCAATAGGTTCTATACAAAGAAGGACCGTTTACTCTTCTGTGCTTTAGAGTGAATGGTCAAATAATTGTTGCTGATCCAGAATCAGTACTCTACATTTTTCAAGTTTCCTGTTGGTATTATGGACTAATCTGACCAACAACAGGACAAAAGCTCGCATTAATCTTTAGAGAATTGTACAAAATCAAAAATAGTTGACTTTTTGCACCAATCCTACTCTCCTTTCTGAATTTCTTAGCCAACATGTATTTTTGGCTGTTTTGGCTATTTTTGAATTGTGGCTGACAAGTTGTCCTCACTTTTCCTGACTTTTACAAATATTAAAATGAATCAAACTGTGAGATGTGACCAGTTTGAATGCCAAGGATGATGATGGGGGGTTCTAAACAGATGAAGTGATCTACAGCATTCATCCATGCATCACGGCTGGTGAGATGCCCTTGACCGCTGGTAGAATCTGCACCTGCTTCAGTGGAGCAGCTCTGTGGCGATGCAGCAAAAGGTAGAACTTGGCAACTTCTGTGTGCACGTGTGTGTGTATGTGTGTGAGAGAGAAAGAAAGAGAGAGAGAAAGGAAAAGCTCCTGTCTAAAAGGACAACCATCCATTCTTTCAGCACTCTGCAATAAAGATTATACATTAACAATTCTGTTTAGGTATTCCAGGCTTTCAGGCTGCTGATGAAGTTTTGCATAACAATACCACATTTACGTTTTGTTTTATTGACTCGGTTTGTAAATTTCATGGAAAAGGTCGACTTCAGCTCTAGTATTGATGTCCACATCGAACAGATTGTGGGCTGAGAGATGGTGGATTTTCTCCATTGTCATTTGAAGTAGAGGCAGCTGCTGATTGAAGGAGTTTTGAGCATGAAAATGAGCAACAACTTGTTTTGTTTATTCATTATTTCTATATGCAAGTTGTAACTTCAGGATTCCCAAAGTAAAATCTTCTAATGATGAAAGAAACTAGTATAGATCCTGAACACAAAAAAAGAATTGTGAAGCCACATTTTTGAGAATTAAAGAAAGGTAAAATACAGTAAAAGCTGCTTTTATGGATAGTCATTTTTTATGACACACATGTTAAAATTAGTTTTAAATGTTTTATCGCACTTAAGGCATCATATTTATATGCTTGGACCAAAGTGGTGCTTGAATGTTTGTGAACACTTAAGAATTTACTATATTTCTTCATAAATATGATTTAAAGCATCATCAGATTTTCTCACAAGTCCTAAAAGTAGATAAAGAGAACCCAGTTAAACAAATGAGACAAAAAATATTATACTTGTTCATTTATTTATTGAGGAAAATGATCCAATATTACATATATGTGAATGGCAAAAGTATGTGAACCTCTAGGATTAGCAGTTAATTTGAAGGTGTTTTCAATCAATGGGATGATGATCAGGTGTGAGTGGGCACCCTGTTTGATTTAAAGAACAAGATGTATCAACATCTGCTCTTCACAACATGTTTGTGGATGTGTATTATGGCAGGAACAAAGGAGATTTCTGAGGACCTCAGAAAGAGTTGTTGATGCTCATCAGGCTGGAAAAGATTACAAAACCATCTCTAAAGAGTTTGAACTCCACCAATCCACAGACAGACAGATTGTGTACAAATGGAGGAAATTTAAGTCAATTGTTTCCCTCCCCAGGAGTGGTCGACCATCACTCCAAGAACAAGGCATGGAACAGTCGGCGAGGTCACAAAGGACCCCAGGGTAACTTCTAAGCAACCGCAGGCCTCTCTCGCATTGACTAAAGTTAATGTCAGTTCAATTAAAAAAAAACTTTATTTATCCCCAGGAGGGCAATTAAAGGAGACATGTAGAGGATACATAAAAATAAATACAAGATAAAATACATAAATAGAAAGAAAGTGCTATATGCATTAGCAAGGTGCAAATGAGCAATGAGGTAAGTCCTGTTTGCAACTAAAGTCCTGTGGAATGGGGCAATGTATGTGTGTATGTGTATGAGGGGTGGGCATACAGGGTGTGAATGCATACAGTATGTATTGAGAGGGGGGATGTGTATCTGTACGTATATGTATGGATATTAAGAAGCAGGACTATTTGTTTAAGAGCTGGACAGCCCTGGGCACAAAGGTAGCTCTTCTCCTCTGTGTTCTGCAGGTAGGGCAACAAAGCCGGCGACCCGATGGAAGCCACTCGAATGATGAGAAGAGGGCGTGTGAAGGGTCCTGTATGATCCGGTTTGCTAACCTGCATGTTAAGTGTTCATAGACAACAGACAGGGTCCTGAGGGATAATCCCATAATTTTAGAACAGACAGTGACCGTCTTCTGCAGGCATTTTCTGTTCTGGAGGCTGGTAGAATGAAACCAGCAGGTTATGGAGAAGGTGATGATGCCCTTGATGAGTTTCATAAGCCAACCATAAGGAGACACGCCAGGTACTGAAAGCAAATATTCACATACTTTTATCACACGCATATATGTAATATTGGATCATTTTCCTCAATAAATAAATGACCAAGTATAATATTTTAATCTCATTTGTTTAACTGGGTTCTCTTTATCTTTGTTGAGGACTTGTGACTTCTGTTTTAAGTCATATTTATACTGGAATATAGAAAATTCTAAAGCGTTCACCAACTTTCATGCACCACTGTATGTGATAAGTTAATATCTTCTGACAATTACATTGGTGGGTCTTTTAAAATAAACAGTGTTAATAAATATCCAGTAACATTGTTTAAATTAGGGCGGCTGTGACTGAGTGGTTAGAGCAGTCGTCCTCCAATGCAAGAGTTGGGGGTTCGAATCCACCAGCAGTCACATGCCGAAGTATCCTTTGGCAAAACACTGAACCTCTTGTTGCTTCCGATATGTGTCCCATCGGTGTATGAATGTGATAAAGTACTGATATTCTCTTTAGAATGATTTGTTCATTTAGCTTTGTAGAGATCTAGTAGAGTGATGGATGAATGGGTAAATGAGGACACACTGTAATGTAAAGCGCTTTGAGTATCTCCATAAGATAGAAAGGCGCTATATAAGTACAGACCATTTACCATTTAAATTGTATAATGGTACAGAATAATTTGTGCTGGGCCTCTTAACTTT